TCCCATCCAGAAGCACCCTGATGTCCTCTCTCAGCACTGTACCAGATAATGGTACTGTTACTGAAGATTATGAGCTTTAGTTTTGTATTCAGTAAAAATGAGATTAACAGACCAGTCAGATTTAAGTCCCTCCTTCTGTGTTTGAGGCTTTTTTCTTCTTTTTTCTACTTTTTTCTTTTCTTTCTTCTCTTTTTTTCTTTCCCTTTTCCAAGTAGTAGGAAAGCGCACAAGAAGGTAGAATTTCACTGTCAAGCAACAAACAATCTAAAACACAAAGAAACCTTACATGAAGTTTTCTTAAGTGAAAATATAAGAAGATTCAAACACCATACTAACTACCATGCATACTACTGCAGCTTTAAAATTATCAGGGTCTGATTTCAATGTTTAAACAAGTTCAAATATATGAGAAAGTGGTACACTACATTCTTAAGCTGCTATTCATCTCTGTGGGCCCCAGTCATCTTCCCTTCCATCTTCTTTGCTTTCCATCACCTTTCCTTACTTCTTTTTCCTTTCTATTGTTCCTTTCCTTTATTCCTTTGATTTTTATTTCCCCCTTTTCCTCCCTTTCTCCCTCTCTTTCTTTCATTCCTTTCTTTCTTCTCTTATTACTTATTACTTTCCTTCATGTCTTTTTTCTTCTTTTCTTTTTCTCCTCTTTTCTTTCCCCTACTTTTCTTTTTCTCCTCTCATCTCTCCCTCACCTCTTGTGAACACAAAGCTAAAGCTTGGCCAAATCTCATCAACATGTGGGAATGTAAATAACAAACTAGAAAAACTTAAGTCTTACAAAGATCAGATAACCAAGGAGTGTAGGTAGCAAACATCCTAAAACAAGCAAACAAAGCAGTATTGTTAAGGTAAGAATTGTTAAGATACCAATTTTCTACATCTGCATTTGCAGAGATAACATTTTGAATAGATACATAGGAACTGAATGAATTTTTTTTTTCAAGTGTAAAGGATTTGTCTCCAGATAAAATACCTCATGAGTGTCTTCCAAGCTTCAATTAAAAAAAAAAAAACTGGTGAGCTAACAGCTTCATATTTGTAATGTATATAAATAAAAATGTTTTGAATTGATGGATTACACTGTAAAAACAAAGGCCTTCATTCTTAAAACTGATTTAAGGCAAATAGGAAGAATATAATCATTGAATGGTTTGGGTTGAAAGGGACCTTTAAGATTATCTAGTTCTAATCCCCCTGCTATAGGCAGTAACACCTCTCTTAGACCAGGTTGCTTAAAGCTCCATCCAGCCTGGCCTTGAAGGCTTCCAGGCAGGGGACATTCACAGTCTCACTGGCAGCCTGTTCCAGTGGGAACTTCACCAGACTGACATGCCCTTTCAAATGTAATGGATAGTGGCTTGGCAACTCCATCTACCAGTTCCCTCAGAACCTGTGGATAGATCTCATCAGGTCCCATGGACTTCCTCACCTTCATGTTCTTTAGATGGTTTCAAACCTGATCTTCACTTAAGCAGGCAGATCTTCCTTCTCCAAGTTCTTACCTTTGCTTTCTACAGCTTGGATAGCGTAGCTAGAGTCCTTGCTGGTGAAGACCAAGACAAAGATGTCATTGAGCACCTCAGCTTACTCTGTATCCCTCGTGACCAGGTCTCCAGCTTCCTAACCTAAAAGGGCCCACATCCTCCCTGACCTTCTTTTAATCACTGATATACCTGTAGAATTTCTTCTTGTTCCCCTTTTACATCCCTAGCTAGATTTAATTGTCTCCATTTTAGCTTTCCTAACATTATCCCTGGCTGCTCAGACAACATCTTTGTAGTCCTCCCAGGTTCTTGCTTCCACTCACTAGACTTTCTTTTTGCACTTAAATAAGTCCAGGTATGCCTTGTTGATCCACAGAGGCCTCCCTTGTACTCTTCCTTGCCTTTCTTTTCCTCAGGATGCAGTGCATCTTGAGTAAATCATTGTTTATAATAGGATACATTGTTATGAACTCTGAACCAGTAACTTTAATCAGCTTATTGAGGATTCTACATAAGAAAAATAGCTAAATAAAACCTAACTTCACAAATAGAGAATTCAACTCTGTTTTACACTAGTTTCATTTGTAAACATTTCTGCCAGTCTAGACATTTGAAGCCTGAAGTCCAGTGGAATAAAACTTGATCTCATTTTATGATTAAGGCTGACATTTCAGGTAGAATATGAATTAGAGTGAAAATTAACAATGCTTATTATGCCTGGAGGTTGCAAATCCAGGTCCAGCAATGTGAGAATTAAGAACCCTTAGAAATATCTAGCAAGATCAAGAACTGCTAAGCATTTCCCTACAAGATCCAACAAGTTTATGAGAAGAAACTTTGTCAGAAGGCACAAGTCAGTGCTCATCCTGAAAATATAATAAAAGCTAAATGATTATTCTCCAGTTTAGTCAGGAGTCACAATACAGAAAGGAGAAGTGAGAGATAAGAAAAGTGGAAAGGAAAAAGTAGTAAGGAAAAGTAATAGAAAGCAAATAAGATGGAAAGGAATATGACTAGAGCCACAAAGATGAATAGCAGCTTAAGAGCGTAGAAAAGTAGTGAACGTAGTAGTTTTTACACATACAAGTAAGAAAAGATTCTGAAAAGGAGGGAATTGTTACAGATGACACTGCATGCTTTTATTTTGCTGAGCTTCATTCTCTTTCATCCATAGACTCCTAAAAAACATCCAGCAATAACGGAAGTCATATGTATATTCCTTTCCTCAAACAACTGTCATTCATATTCATAAGGCCAAATTGCTCTGAGGAGCATGGTCCACAGCAGAACCCAACAGCTCTGAACATTTTGCTCTCACAAGTACAGTATCACATCCTCTTAATTGATACAATGACACAGTGCTGTTTCATTTATCTTGTACTACCATGAAAGTTGGCTTATTGTCTACTTCAGACAATCTAAGCTTGTCAAAAGAATAAATAAAAGTGGCTTCCTGGAACAGTAATTTTTTTTTTATTTTTTTTTTTAAGTGACTATCTGGCAGGTACCAGTTCCTGAACTCATGTGCTAGAAAGGGGATAGAGGATAGCATTCTAACTTTTTGTTCCAACTCTAATTGTACTGACACTGGATTAGAACAGTCATTAGCAAAAATTCTCCTTGAAAATGTAAGATCTTCACCTAGGAAATTATAAGAAATGGCAACATAAAACCACTTTTTTTAGCTTCTTTTTTTTAATAGATTACATTTTAAGGACTTTTATTTTAAATCAATCTTCAACATTATTTGAATCTATTCTAAGGGGATCATAGTACTGTACATATAATTCCCAATTCTACTAATTCTATAGCATTATCAATTCCTTATATTGTTGAAATAATCTTCTACAAGCCCCTGGAAGATTAATGCTTTTATCTATGTAAATATAAAAGTAAACATAAAAAGTAACCTCTAATATGATATTAGAAGCAGCACTAGAAAGCTACTTGAAAGTCAGTTCAGAGTGCCTTTTCAGAAATCTTTAGCAGAACTAGCGCAGAGCATTCCAAAGGTAAACTAATGAAAAGTTTGGTTTGTTTCTTTCAATCTGCCATTAAAAATAAATGTTAAAATAATTTAATCAAGAGGCTGTAGCAGCCCCACAATTCAGAACAGGAATATGAAATATAGCCAAACCCATACTATCAGCAGCAAGGATAATCTACATTTCTTCTAGCAGGACTCATCTCACTAAGAGGGAAGTCCAGATAGACATCTATTTGCATGTGCTTTGTAGAAATCTACCACAATTTAGTAGGTAAGTTCACCTAAGATTTCATTTCTATTGAACGCTTATTTTCGTTTACGTCAAGTCCTATGGCAGGAACATATTCTTTCATTTACTGGATTTGTCTTGAATCTGTTTATTTACCATTCTGCCTTCCTTTGTTGTATGTGTAACAATGTTATGAAATGTTTCCTATGATTTCCTCTTCAGCTTTCCCTACAGCAGCTCAAATTGTTCACTAACTTTCATGAGAAGGGAAGCTGAGAAAAGCTTCCATTGCAATTAGCTAGACTTTAGTTAGCAGGACAATAGCACAAAACATCACTTTTAGTTACCGGAAGTACCTCTATACTTATATTTATTAGAAAATTATTTTTCATAAGCTGCAATAATTCTTTTTTATAGTATTTAGATCAAAGAAGTGTATGCAAAGAGAAAAAATAGAAACAGATGAATTCACAAATTAACCCCAAAACATGCTAATTGTGCATTCTTACATTTGAGCTCTATTTAAATTTTTTACATTCTTACACAATAAGAATGTGTAACATTCCTAGTAACAAACTCCACATTTGCAAATTCAAGTAGGGATGCTTGACAGATTACATATTCTAGTTCAGTAACCTTGATTTTCTCTTTTACTGGTCCTCAGCAAATTTAAAAGACATTGGCAGCCTAGGGGCATACTATTAAAATGGATTTCACATGATGTGCATTTCTTTTCAGTTTTTATTATTCTACTGAAAATTTAATATTGTTCTAAGAAAAATAAAAAGAATATTGTGTTCTATTCGTACTTCTCATCCCTATTCTTCTCAGGATTTCCTTGAAATAATGGTATTCAAAATGAAATGCAGGCTGCTCTAATTTCCTAAAATGAGATTCTACAAGGGTTGGCAGCTACATTTTTTAAAAGCCCTTAAGAATTGGGAAATAAATAAATAAAATCTATCAACTTTTTTTTTTCCAGTCAGAAGCTGTACGGTCTCTAAGTTCTACTATGTATATAAAAACTTTAATAATAATTTATTAATTTTTGAAGAGTTACACTTACAATAACGGAAGTGTGTTTTTCCCTGAGCACAGCATTTATAATAGTGAAAACTCATGAGTTGGACTTAATAATTAAGAGCAAAGTTTTCTTTGGTGTTTCTTTATCTGACAAAATAGTTTAGAATGATCTAAAATAATCTACAGAAATTGTTAGGAGTCTTAGCAAGGTTTCATATAGCCCTGCAGCAGATGATGGAGGATAAGCTTATTGAAATCATTTACCTTCAACTGGTGAACATCTCTGTGTTCCAATATGTGAGAACTGGTGCTGCAGCATCCAGAGAGGGGCGAGACAAGAGGACACTCACTCCACTCACAGGATTGAGCAGGAACACCCCACTGACTTGATGCATCAAGTCCTCCATTCCCCCCTGGAAAGTCAAAGCTAAGCAGCATCTGTTTTCAGGGAGGCCTAAAAGGAAAGCTCAATTGCTGTCACCCACGCAAACAAGGAAAGGAATGGGAACTCTTACACACAGGTACAGCTTTCTAGGAGGGAAGGAGAACACAGCGCAGCCAATGACCAGGCAAAAACCCGGATCCACAAGCAGCAGACAAGAGCCTCTGACCCACCCCCAGGCTGCATGGAGGCCACAGACTTCAACATGCCAGGGGGTCTTTCTCAGGGGGCCAAGGGCCAAATGGTGCAACACGCACCCCAACCACAGGGCTGTCACTTTGGCAGGTCACCAGCAGGTAACCACACCGAGTGGCTGGAGGAAGAGTGGCAGGGAAAGGGCACTACCCTGCTTACAGGGTGCCCTCGGGGTCCAGCGAGCTCCATTTCCCACTGGGGTGCGGAAAGGTGGCTCTCACCCTCCATACAGACGGCCACACTTCCCAGGCAGCCAAAGGAGCAACAAGGCAAAAGGCCAACTACAGCAAAAGACCTGAGCCCTGATTGCAGGAAGGTCGCCCAGCACAAAGCTGACCTGGACACCCAAGATGCCGGCAATGCTCTCATGTGACGTGACATGCTTTTGTCCAGGGAGCCTCTCTCTTTGCCCATCTGCAGTAGTTTCCTTCCTTCCTCTTCTTGCTCACTCTTGCCTCGGAGCTCCACCTCTTGATTCTTCTTTCTTCAGCAGCTGATCCTTCAGATGAAGGAGGCCACCCTTAGACCCGAGGACCGCCAACTGCCCCAGCTGAATCCTGAATGGAATCAGACTTTCTGCTCTGGTAGCATTGCTAACTTTTCCCAGGTACTTAAGCCACTAAATGTCAGGTGAGCATCTTTTTAATTCCCTGGCAGTCCTTTCCAGCATGGATTTTACTGCTCTTCTCTTTCCTCAGCCTAGGAATGGGATTTCTTATTTCAGGCACCCGCCACCCCTCAATTGGCATTTGCCTCATTCCCCTCACGTCTCAGCTCTCCAGCAACACCCTCCCCTTTCCTTTGCTCACATGTGGCACTCCTCAGCCCAGAAGTGGTATTTCTCTCCACCTTCCTCAGGTGCTTTTCTATCTGGGAACTCCATTTCTCTTCCGAGCCTCCTGTGTCACTCAGCACAGGTACAGCATTTGTCTTTTTCAGCCCAGAAACTTCTATCTGTGCTCCCTTCAGGCCATGAACAATTCCCACCTCTTCTTCCTTACTCCTGGCACTCCTCAGTCCAGGAAGGATTCCTGCCTCTCGTCCCTCACACCCAGCACTCTTCAGCTCTGGAATGATTCTCACCTTCTCCCACACACTGTCAGACACTCCTCAGCCCAGGAGTGATTTCTACCTCCCACCCCACCTCTCATGTCCCCTTCAGCTAGGAAGGACACCCACCTCTCCCACCCCTCAATCCACCAACCATCCTCAGCAACTCTGCTCACGCTTTCCCGCTCTACATCATTCTGCCCTGCCACCACCTTCCTTCCTAAAAACCCAGCAGTGATGATGCTTGTCCCCTCACCTTAGACCAGACAGCTTTTTTCCAGTTTCCCACTTCAAACATTCATCAACTTGCCACACTCTGAAGAAAACACTGTCACTCACTTGCCTGTCGTGCGCCTTATATAGGTATCCCACTGCCTGCCAGCCAATAGGAGCAAAGAACGCCGCTCTTACTTCCCACTTTCTTTTTCTTTTCTTTTTTTTTTTTTTTTTTTTTTTCATCCCATTTCACCTTTTTCATTTGGGTGCAGCTGGGTGGGGGTTATCTCAAGGTTTTCTCTCAGGTGTTACTGCCTGTCCACTCAGAGCAGGGCCACCTAGCAGGTGGTCTCATCTCATAAACCAAGCACTCCCTCTGAGCCTTTCTTCTCTTCTGGTGTTTATTTGCTTTGATTGTTGCATTGACTTCTCAGGTGTCTGCCCCCAAGGGGAAGATCCCATCTGAACTTAGAAATATTGTTACAGAGAGAAAAATATGAAAATAGCTGATGCCTGATGGCCCCACCTCATCTAGTTTAACACTTAGCAGACAGATTGTATCTCATTGTAGCCATTTATTCCTGGAGTTTAATCTGCAGTTCCACTTCTTTGAATACCCCCTGGTCAGGTCACAGTAGTGACTGAGCAGCTCCATGGGGTAACAGCAGACAGCTGGAATATGTGTGCAGCTGCACTTCTTTCACCTGTTTATAGCCTGATAGAAACACAGTAAGGTATACATTCAAGATGTTATGAAAATGAGTATTTTTAACTATCATGAGAAACAAAATTTTTTTATTATTGTTATTTTATTTTTTATTTTTATTTTTATTTTTATTTTTATTTATTTATTTATTTTTTGAGTAGTTGAGAGAAAAATTGTAAGTTTCCATGCAGAAGTTTTGTAACTGCAAGGTGTGGAGTGCATTCCCCAGGTGAGGTCTGTACCACCACCTAGTTAATGAGGCTGAACAAACACAGAGACCGTGGAAAACACCCACAAATTTGTTTTGCCTGAGTTAGCAATTCTCACTGGCTTTTGACTAAGATGTTATTCCAATTGTCCTTCCCATCTGGACCTTGTATATGTATGAGTCCATAGTGCCTGCAGAGAGAAATCCAGACCCCAGCAGGACCCACCTGGCCATGTTGGAGGCAAAGGGCTGTGTCTGAATGGCCTTCTGCATCTAATATAGCACACCCACACAATTCCATATATTAATATAAATGAAACTTAAGTAGTAGAAAACAGTGGATTTTCACTATAGGCCAATAGAATGCAACAGAAACTGTAAAAATGAAGGGATCCTATCACACATGGCACAGCCAGCTACTGATAGCATGCCATCTTCTAAGGATTTTGATGATTTAATTATATAAATAGGGGGGATTTTTCCATCCTCAAAACTCCACTAAAGAATAAATAATTACAGCTCAAACAAACACAAATGAATTTTGAGCCTTATCATCACAATTATGATTTTACAACTGTTATTATGTGAGTAGGGTAGAGGACATTGGGTTCCAGAGATTATTTTTTCCTGGTTGTGATTTTAATTGATTGATGTTACTTAGCTTGCTGGGAGGCTATAAAGAAATGGCTTTAGTTTTCAGAAAGTGGATCCAGCTTCTTTATAGCCACCATTTCCACTTGCCTGTTGCTCTGCTCTCTACCTAATTCAGACACCTTAAAGGCCTGAGCCAAAACATTTTGAAGTAGTCTTACTATCGCTGTCTGTAAACTCAAGATCAAGTACTAGGCCTCCATCTGTTACTATTACAACAAGTGAAGCTGAAAAACTCTTTCAATCTCTCCTCCCTAAACAAAATTTTAACTCTTAACTATCTCTAATTCTGTATGGTGCTGATAAAGGTTCAGTAGAACATGTAAGTACACATTGAACTCTTATGTATACTTCACCGCAGGCTTCCGTGGATCATTTTGCCTTAGAAATGCCCCAGAAATATTGTTCTTTCTTCAGGAAGCTTTTAAAATGAGTTTCTTGTCATAACCAATCATATAGCAAAAGAGAAATGCAGATCACATCTAATATTTAGGTGGAGCACAGTCATCTGGGACTGCTGCTGGGTCCTTATTCAGTGCAACAGCCAGTTTCCAAGCAACAAGAGATCCAGGCTTGGAGCTCCATAAAAATATGTTGCAAAAGTTCTTCATGATGTTATGTCACAAGTGCTTATAGTGTTTCAGCAAATTTGATTATGTTTTCACTGATGTTTACTGATATTCAAACATAATTGATTATAGTGATTTGGGCCAGACTCATGTTGTGAATATAGCAGGCAAATAATGAGATCTGTTATAAACACATTTATAAAAGAAGAAAATGTCTGAATGCTTGGTAAATTCAGAGAAATTGAAAGAAGTATCTGACATCTGTATTAACTCAAACCCCTAAAAGAGCTAGACTTGATTACATTGCTTTAGACTTATTACAGGTTGAATTTTACTTTATCATAGAATCATAGAATGGCTTGAGATGGAAGGGACATCAAGGATTATCAGCTCCAGCCTCCCTGCTGCAGGTGGGGCTGCCAACCTCCATACCTAATACTAGACCAGTCTTCCCAGGGCCTAATCCAACCTGGCCTTGAACACCTCCATGAATGGGGCATCCACAACCTCTCTTAACAGCCTGTCAGCCGCATAAAAGGAAATTACCTGCTTTCTAATGATACACTGAGTTTATTGCTTATTTTATCAATTCCAGGCACAAGCCTACAGATGAATTCCACCTTCTCCGTCTGCAGTCCCACTTCTTGGTTTTTCTTAGCAGTATCAATTTCATCTTTATCCATTTCTTCCCTTTTACCTCCTGGAATACACACCTCCCCAGGTGGTCTTCTCAACTGGAATTTAAATTGGAATAATAACTGGAATTACTACTGTTATACATAATGAGCTTGTTTCGTCTTGTATGGCTCATTTTGCAGAACCACTTCAACGATATTATGATTCTATAAGCCCACCCTAGTGCCACCAGCCTGCAGGCAGGCTTTCCTTTAAAATCAGAAGATCATAAAACATCCTAAGTTGGATCACCAAGTTCTACTTCTGGATCCACTCAGCACCACCCAAACCCAGTGTCTGAAGGTGAGCGGTGTCCAAATGTGTTCCTTGAGCTCAGGCAGCTCCCCACAGCTCTGAGGAGCATGTTCCTTTTAATGCTGCAGCCTAGCATGAGAGTTGCTGCATAACCAGAGCTCCTCTGTTTTAATTAAAATATTGTCTATATGACAACCATTTTTCTTCATGGCAAGAAAATTATTTACAATGACATTTTCAATTGAATTCTGCTGGAACTTCATATATTTGGGCCAACAACTCAAATGCCAGGGCAATTAAAAAGCTAAAACAGATCTGAAAAGATTTACAGTTAATCAATGCATGGAGGGAAATTCATTAAACTACTTAGAGTAGATATTTTCCTCACTAATAGACAGAAATTTTACCTTCAATTTCTCAAATTCCTCCTAAGATCTGGAATCATGTTACTTCTACCATTTCCACACTCAACACCTTTCTGACATGGAAAAATTCAGGTGTCAATCTGTTTTTTAGTAGCAAGCATATAATAAAAACTGTAAAACTGTTTAGAGGTGAAATAAGTGCTCCAATATTTCTAAGCAGCTCTACTTGATCTTGAACAAGATTGAAAGACAGTAGGGACTCTATTGAAAGGCATTAAAGATATTTTCATTGCACTACTGATTCTGTAAACTTTGCTCTATGCCAGATTTGCCAGTTTGATAAAACATTTCTCTCTATCAAGTAAATATTTCGGTTAAGACCTACAAAATCTTATTTCCACTTTTTGTTATATCAAAATAACCTTGAAGACATTTCTGTAAACCAAAAAAGCTAAGACTGTGGCATAAAGATATCAACTCTTCCCTTCTACAATGTGCCACACTATGACTATTTCAAATGATTATCTGAATTATTTCTGTTTTTCATATCCTTATTATTTTCTTTATTTTCTTCTATTTTCCCTCTTGGTTTCACAGGAAAATATAATTAAATATTTTTCTCTGTTCTGTATAGTACTAAACTAATATGTTCTATGGAAGCATGATTTTCAGCTCCAGAGTTAAGAATGGTCCAAGTTTTGTGTGCAAAGCAAGGAATGAATGACATTATTTTGTAACAAAGCTATGTATTTCTGTTGTTTTCTGAACATTTCAAACTAAACTTTTGTGACTGAATTTAAAAATTTTATCCTGTTATTTGGGCTTGACACATATTGCTCCTCTGCCTTCTATTATCCTCAGAATAAGAGGATAATTTTCAGGATTTCCTGTGTTCTTCAGTCAATGTTTGAAGGATTTCTTGTTATAGCCCGTACTTAATATCCCAAAGGATGAATGGATTCTTGCTCTTATGGGCTCATTCCTGAAATGGTTCATCCACAGAGGCTAATACATACTATTTTACTGCAAAGAATTCCATAAAGCACTGTCTCCTTTCAAACTTTACAAACATTTTGGCTATTATTCTGAGATAGCTATCTGCCTCTCATTGTTTTCAGTTTTTTCATAAGAAAGATATCTACTGGCTTTTTCTATGGGAGCAGTCAGAATTTTCCAAGAGAGATCAGCAACTTAACAGCATATAGCAGAAAATGGAGACCATTTTGAAAATAAGTGATGTATGATCTTCTCTGAGAATTTTAAAAATCTAGTGAAAGTAGTGGTAAATGTGTCTTCTTAACTTTTTTCATAATTTAGTTTGAAAAAATAACTCTCTTGTTTTGTTTTTTCCTAAGGCTGAATTGAACATTCTTTCTGAGAGACCCTTGTAATTTTTACATACATAACCTTGCTCACTAACTAATTTATGTATTTAGATATTCTTAGCACAAGGAAGTCCTTAAGAAAGTCTTTCTTAATATCTAATGGCTTAATTTTCTACAAATTAAGATCAGTATTTCTTGCCCTATCCACTGGCATAGAAAATACTGTTGTTTTTTATGGCTTTTTTTTTTTTTTTAATATATATATATATATATTTAAATATAATAATAATATAAATTAAAATAAAAAATTAGTTGTTTCAACCTTTCTACCAGTCGTATTT